TAATATACCAGCATTTTATGAAAATCAATTGTGGCTCCAAGATTCCTTGTCCGACCGTAAATCCAGCCTTAACATAAATTACTGTAATAATAAATTCAACACTTAAATTCTTCTTAAAATTAGAGACATAATATTCATAGTGGCTATAATTTTACGATGTTGGTTAAAATATTTTTAACATAAATAGCTATGTTCGTATACGGTATAATTATGCAAAATAGTTTATGACAGACATTTGATCTGCAGATTGTTGCATTAGTTATTATGAGGTTTTCCTACAATCACGAGAGAAATCTATAAAGCAATAACAAATCTCTTCTATTCAAAACAGTTTTATTTTTAATCAACAAATGAACATTTAGCATATTTAATTTTAAGAGTCAGCAATAAAAATTAAAGTAATTTTAGTAAATTAATTATGAATTCGCTGTACATTTTGAATAAAATATGTGATTGTCTGGTCCTACATTATATTTGCTCGAGAAGAACTTGTTTAAAGTAAATGTTGAATAGCAGCTGAATGAAGAGTGGACAGTATTTGTGCGGAGCAAATTAACTGATTATGATTGTATAGTCCACGAAATTAAATTCATTAACTATACACAGTAGAGTGGGACAAAGCAGCGAAATTAATAATCGTTTGTGTTAAATTTAACGGCAAAAAATTAAAACTGGAAGCATTATAAAGTTAATTAAAATTAAATCATGAATTTGCAATTATATATACATGCCGTATTCTCTAATTTTTAAACACGTCAATACTATCGCTTTATTTATAAGTTATTAAAGCAAATAATTGAACTGTAAAAATAAATTATCAAATTACATTACAAATTATACCAAAAAGTCCGTTAAAATAAATAAATTTTCTTTTAACAAAAGTTTTATCACAAAATTAGGTCACTAAGCGCTCTATACGTTAACGAGATTGTAAAAAGAAGTTAAAATAAACTATCCTGTTCAAAACTTTTGTCATCATTTTTCTTACGATTGAGATAAGAAGCTCTCGAGTTCATGAGAAAAAGCTTTTGTTAGCCTTTGGTGTGCAAAGATAATCCAAACACAACGCATATTGACTTTGTTTTAAAAAGATTTATTCTTTCTAGGCATTTTTTGCTTATGAGTATATAAACACGGAGAAACACTCTTATTGTCTATAAGTCTATTATATTGTCCATTCTATAAGTGAAATTAATTATGACAATACATAATTATTTCATTTGAAGCTTTGAAATTAATAATTAATATTGCGATTAACTGTAAAAGTATTGGCACATGTATAATAAAAGATTTAAGAAAAGAAATATGATAAAAAATTATTACAGCAGAATTTTCTGTCGTAAATATTTTATAATATAAAATTTAAATATTACGTTTAAATATTAATAAATTCACTCATTTAAATAAAACACATAAATAAAAAATATTTAAATATATAATATCTTCTATTCTCTTTTCCTTTAGCAATATTCTGTATTACGTATGACACATTGGCATCTTTATTGCCGATTCCCGCGACGTTGATTAACTCTAATCTCAACGTACGTATATTTTTCTATTCGTGTCATGATGCGATCATCTATAGAGAGAATGAATTCAGTTAACTTCAATTAAGGTTAATCAGTGTCAGAAGCATCGATTTCTAAAATAAAGGTCTATAATTCTAGTAATGCGTCAATCATTTCATAAATTGTATAAACTTGCCTGTTAAACTTAAATTAAACGACATTCTTGATTTGCTTTTCAATAATCATTTTTCAAGTAACGCAAATAGAGAATGTTGGGTTGGAGAAAAAGTTCTGCAGAATCTTATAGTTTAAAATTATATACAAAATATATTTATTGCGAAATTTTCGACTATCTGACGTAAAAGCTTAAAGATTTTCCTAAAAGTTCATTTTTAAAAAATGTTTCCATGACTCTTTTTGTTACCAAGTTACACGCGGATTAAATAAAAGAGCATTCTGATTTTGATTGTTCATAACTCCGTTAAAATTACCGTACCGTAATTAATAAAACAGATTCTTAAAGTTGAAATATTGTTCTATCAAGTGGTGTAATTGCTAATTTTTTAAAAAATATGATATATGTACATTTGAGCTAAAAATATTACTTTTTTCCATTGCACAATGGTTATATATAAGAATAGTAATATTACATTTTTAACTCAAATTTCTATATATTTTACATTTAAAAAATTATACTACTCGATAGACGATAACGTTTCAGTTTTAAGAATCTACTTTTTTTAATTGCAATACGATGATTTTTATGAATGAAGTTATGAGCAATCAAAGTCAGAATACTCCTTTTTATCTAATTCACGAATAACTTAAGAACAAAAAATAGAAACGTTGAAACGTATTAAAAAACGATTTTGTAAGGAAAACTCCAAATTTTTACGACATAGTCGAAAATTTTCGCAAATTTTTTTTTGGCCCATGACAGACTTACAAGTGAGAAGAAAAATTTCTCTTTTTTTCAGCTCGTAGTTTTTTATATATAAAAATTACAAAACTCAAATCAATAAATTCAAAAAATATAGTAATCATTTGAAAATAGAGATTTCAAGCTTTAAAATCCTTTTTTTAAATTTAAATTTTTATCAGTTTTAATAAAAAAATTGTATACGGTAAGATTGTCGAAATCGCACCACTTTTCACTTAAAGGCTCATAACTCAGAAACTCAGAAATGAAGAATATCCTTAAGTTTTTTACAATATAATAAATTACATTCTTTTCCTTTTCTTATGTAATTTTTTGCGCTATTATAAATAAAGCGTTAAAGATTTTTTCAATATGATTTTCAATACGATTTTGAAAACGAGGAAATTCATTGCCTAAACTGTGCCATGCCAATGTTCCTCATTAAAAATATTACAATAATATAAATATTACAATAATATAACGCAAAAAATTTAAAAATTAGAAAAGGAAAAAAATTATATTTTATTATGCTGTTAAAAAATGAATATATTTTTCATAATTTCTGAAACACATAATAATTTCAAAAATAATTTAAGGAGTTTCTATGTGAAACAAAATAAATAGTTCGTAGATTATCATTTTCAACCAACGATCGAAATGACAGGACATAAATAGTTCTTTCGTTAATATTTTAAAATTTTGACGATAATTTTTAATTTATTAAAGACATAATACAGAATATTGCTAAAGGAGAAGAGAAGATATTATATATTTAAATATTTTTTATTTATGTTTAAATGAGTAATGAATTTATTAACAATGTATTTAAATGAGTAATGTGAATTTATTAACAATACAAAATATTGCATACGACATATTTATTGTTTATTATTGAGGTGTTGACGGTGTGAGCTTGAGTTCTCATTGCTACTCAGCTTTCAAACTTTGTGAGTATGTGACTTATCTCGCAACAGTTAGCGGTTCAATTTTTTGAGAGCAAAAAACGTTGAAGATTTGTAATGCGATTTAGGAGCCGGTGCGATTTCAGCAACTTTACTCTATATAATTTTACTCTATATATATAATTTTGAATAAATAAAATACTTCAGAACTTTTCCTCCAACCCAATACATTTTTTATTACATGTTCTTATTTAAATATGTGGAATAAGTTAGTACTTATTATGTATATTAATAGAAATAAGTCCTTCTTTTATAATCTGTGTTTTTTTCAACACAAACAAAATTTCACTTTTAATTTTTATTAATTGTTTATTAATGTGATATTGCTACTCCAATATTGCTACTTCGGATTAGAATTATGTTTTCAAGATCGATAAATAATTGACACACAATTTGCTCCAACTGGAAATTGTATGAATTAACAAAAAATATTATTAGGCACGAAAAATCATTTTGATCGACTGAATACGATATTTTCTATTCATGATAGTTAAATCAAATTAATGATTCATACTAAATATATACATATTTATATATATATGTTTAGTAAATATTTACTTAGAATTATTTAAATAAATATTGATTAAAATATTTATTTATTTTTTCATTGCAATTATTTTGAATAATTATATAATACATACGTTTGTTTTAATGCTCAATGAAATTATTATTTTCAGATCCGTATAGCTAATCAAATTTTTAGATACATATTTTAGACTTGAGCAAAATCGTTCTTTCCATGTATGAACTCCATATTTATTCATTGTAAATAAATACAATGCTTATCTGCGATTTTTTCATAGTTCTATAAAAAATTAGTTTCCAAACTTGCATTCTTCTTATTCTTTTTAGAACGTACAGAGGAATTTATATTGAATTGTGATTCCGGCTTTAGACTTTAGGCTTTAGACTTTACACAAGCGACGTGACGGTGGGTGGTAACAGCTCGCAATTGCGTGGAGGGAGAAATGGCTACTTGGCAGGGGAATAATAATGACGATCGGACTGACACACACGAGGCGTGCAAAGTGCCGTCGGAGACGTGAGGCTTTATAAATCGCGAGGATGCACATCGAAGCAGTAACACCTCGGCTGACGACGGTGAAAAACGCGCGGCCGCGATCGACTAGGAACAGCGAACACATTTTTCACACTTGAGCATCGTGAGTATCGTATCCGTGGATTAAAGACGCGGCGCAAAAGTTTCCAACAAATGATCGGAAAGTTTCCTACTGATGATCAACGATCGTTCGAGCTGTATATTTTTCGTGAAAAGATGGTAAAAGATTCCTCCCTTCTTCAAGGGAGGGATTCAAATCTTGATTCAAAAGATAGGATTCAATTGCGATTAATTTATTACGCTTTCTAAGTTTTTTCTTTGTTTTATCGGCTTTCTTTTGACGATTTTCAAAGTATTTGAAAATAACCTCCGAAAGGTTTTTGAAATATCAAGAACGATATCGACATTTTGGCGCAAACAAACATTTTGTTAGCCATATTGCCACACTTTAACCGTGTAAGGTTCACGATCGTTCACGTCAGAACCATTCAATCAGTTACCTTCTCCGGAAACAGATCGACCGGAACTCGCCGCCTCGAGGAAAATTGCGAGATTCTTCGACACGACTAGTCGATGCGCTTCCAGCTGCACTAGCATCGATCGTTGCAAATTGGATTGCCGTTAAGACTCGAGCGACGGAGACCACCTTGGAGTCGAGCAGACTTGTTCAGTGTCGACGGTGAAATTTCCAGAGAGAATTTCGGAGTTCAGAGCATTTGCGACTTAATTTGCCATTGGAGAAGCGCACGTCTAACACCTGGGATGTGCCATAAACGAGAGTGACTGAGAGGAAGAAGGGTATGCGAACTGTACTTGTTAGCAGAGCTTGTAACGAGAGTTAGTGATCTTAACAAAGTAAGTACGAATTCTTTGACGCAAGAATAATAACATATGCATTTATAAAAAAAGTGATACAAGTAAAAAGTTAATACTTTGGAGATAATGAAAGGAATCTAAAGACTAATATATTTTTATAAAAAAGCAACATTTGTTAATTTGTTAAAACAATTTATTATTATTTGTATGAAAAAATATTACAACATTAATAAAGGCAGATTGCAGTGTATATTTATATTTTGAAAATTCATGACATAGCTTTAAAGAATACGTTATAATTACAAGTATAACATGGAAAGAAAGTGAAGTTTTAGAAATTGCATACTTATTATCCTAATTAAGACATTGTTTCAAAAAAATTCAGAATTTTTGAAATACTTGACTGAAAAATTGTTAATTTTGAGATATGTCACTTTTCTATGAAGCGACGTACTGAGATATGAATTAAAATAAAATAAGCTTCTGTTTGATTATAGAAGAATATAAAATAGCATTTTAAAACAATAATATGCAAACTGTATGTCTAAATCTTCTTCTTAGTAACAAACGGTATAAAAATATATATATTTTCTGTTTTATCTTTTTTTGTCGCCTCGACTGAAAATAGAATTAATTCTCTTAATTGATTATTTCTTTTTACTATATTCTTTGCAATTATAAGCTCGACATATGATGATGATAACACATACAGTTGTCAGGGATGATTTTACTTTGGAAAGATCTAATAATAATCTCTATAATCAGACAAGTCCCACATGATTGCATATAATTAAACGTGGCCTCATTGATAGTCGCACAGGAATTTATATGGGGTACTTTAATTACGTTATCGTAAATGAAGATCAATTGAAAATCCTATTAAGGCATTATGCAAATTTAATAACTGTTAATTAACAGGTTACTATGAAATTTCGGTATGTAGCCACATACGATAGTCCTGCTGATGTAATTATCGATATTTGATTGTTTTGGAATAATCAATTAAGGAATTTTTTTCAAATATTTATATGTTTTTCATTGCACAATATGAGAGATTTCGACATAAATTAAAAATGAATTGATACTTATTTTCTTTTAGGGTTATTCGACGCATGATAAAGCAGAATAAAAAGTGCACTGTAAAAGGAACACATTTAAAATCAGTTTTTTATATTACTCTCCTTAACTATCTCACTTAACTACAGAATAATCGTATAATTCAACATCATACATAGTAAAAAAATTTGTGTATTTATGTTGGTTTACTTACGTTTGTGTTTATGTTGAATTTTTTAACATATTTGAGTGTTAATTTAATATAATGTGATTATATTATTTAAAGATTTTTTTATGAAATTGATATCAATGTTTTTTAGTATCAAAATAACACAATTTATGTAGTAATTATGAATAAATGAAGTAACATAAAAATAATGTTTTAAAACATAAACGTTCTAAAACAAATAAATAAAATCCATGTTAATTTAACATATCATAAATGTTAATTTTCTGACAAAAAATATGCTTCCATGATTGTTTACAAACTGTGTCGATGTTATCTTTCTTTGTATTTATTCTCTTATATAATATTTGTGTTACCTTTTATTCATATTCATCTTATGTAAAATTAATTCAAAAATTTGAGTGGACCGTTTGGGACATGCAAGTTATGTTAAATTTAACACATTTTTTCAAACTGTGTAGTATTTTTCCAAAACAAAATTATAATTCATATAAATAGTCAACTTTTTAAAAGAATTAAATGTCCTATTCTCACGTAACGTGCAATTTTTTCTATTGCAAATTTATTGAGACATTTAAAACTAGACTATGGCTTTATTTGAATAGATTTATATACATTATATATAATCTATTCAACTTCATAAGTAATAATCGAATAATAACTTTTTTCATATTATTTGTCATGCTTCTTATTATTCAATCACATAAATATTTTCGATATCTTACATGAAAACTGACAAGAATTCATTTCAATTTATACTCGAACTGTGATGAATGTTATAAATATTTGAAAAAAAAAAAACTAAAAATAAAACATGCGGGTAAGAATGTTGAAAATCAATCCATAGTATATTAAAATTAATTATGTAAAGCCATTTCTAAAATAACACATAATATTCAATAAAAAATCGCATTTTAATTTTACATTATAAATAAGAAAAAGCCTTATGAGTCGGAAGAGTATAATAAATTCTTAGAAGGAGTTTCCAGTTGTATGCCAGGTGTATTATTATTACTGATTATTACCTAATTTAATAGCCGACAATTACTCGCCTATCTCATTTTCAATATAAGCTAACTTCCGCCTCGATTGATCCTACCGATGCTACATTCGCAGTATGCAATTATCGCTAATCAGTAATTCACAGAAAAATAAAAAAATCCACGCGAGGCTATTGCTCCTTATCGGTCGATTCACGAAAAAAAAGTCTGTTTATTGAAATATTATCGATGTGACATTATCGCATGCGCATGAGTGGGATTCTATATATAAATACGAATACGTATAATTACGATAGTGACTTTGCCTAAGGCGAACAAATACATTCACATGTTGCACGCGATTAAAAGCTGCAGCAACTTTATTAAGAAAAATCATAATTTCCGTTTTTCCAGAGACTAATTCCTTCCACTATTCCCTTCTTCTATCCTCTGTTATATACAAATGTTAAATATATATTTAAAGCTTTAATCAGGATTTAATTATGAAATTATCTACTTTATATGAAAATTTGAAAATTAAAATTGGATTCTGTCATCAATATTTAATTGTATTAAATTTTACGTTCTGAGATATATATTATTAGACTATATATTTTTGTATCCAAGAAAAACATAAGTGCTTTAAAACGAACGGAATAATCTTTGTATAAATCATAGATTGGTATGCTTTGCTTTTATGGGAATCTGAAGGCAGGAATTGGTCGTTTATTTTTCATACGCAAAAAAATATACATGGCTATGATGAATACAGGAATGATCTCATGAATGCTTGACACGTTCGTTTCCATGCCAGTGGATGCTATTAAGTCACAACGACGTTTCTGACTGTCATTGAGAGCATATGTCGTTATATTAGCAACATGGAGCCCTGCTGACAAGGCCACGCAATTTAATCGTGGACTTGTGAAACGATTCCTTCGAGGTTGCGTCAACGAAGCATCATCGTAATGTAAATACTGTTACAGATCTCGAGTGTCAATCATTTGTAATGAGCGCATCGATGAAAGTATTTGCTGTTGCGTTATAATTTATCAAACGAATGTTAACGGAAAAATTTATTTTTCGCAAAATAATAAATGATTAGGGGAATTAGAAATTCATGAATCGAGGTTTGCATGTAATTAATGTTGCAAAATTAAAGCTAATAAAGTTATGAAATTAAATTTCATAATTAGAACAAAATTCGTTAAAGAATTTATTGTATTTCCGTAATATGTGAAGAATTTTTTCGCATTTATTATTAAAAATATAATTATTTATTTATTTTATTATTAATTTTTTATTATTAAAAATTCCAAACTTTTCAAATAAGATTACTTGAAACAATATAGTAAAAACAATAAATAATTGCTAAATAATTATTATTGTTAAATAATAAATTTATGTTTTTTATAAGAAAAGCTTAAATAAGAATAATTAAAAATTGAAGATTAATGCTAAAGAGAGAGTGCAAGCAAGTTCCACTGTATGATTTTATATCAATATTCATTTACTTAATCCTAAATAATACATATCTTGTATAATACATATCTTAAAGTGTAATGTCATTTATTTCTACATTAATGATTTTTTTGGTCTTTTTTTCTGAAGAAATTGATATTCATTTACTTGCATTTCTTAAAGATGTCGTAAAAACGTTAAAGAAGACGATTCTTTTGTCCATTTTTTCTCAAAATTACGATGGATCAGGATAAATAATTCAAGATAAATGCTACTCGACCTCATCGTTATATTACTTTAGAACGGATCTCGAGAAGCAGATTCGCGAGCGAGCGCTACGCACGCGTTGAACTACGCGCGCGCATGCAGATTAACTGTGCATCGCGCGGCTTATCGACAGCCTGGCGTGTTCGTCCGATCGGTCGAAATTTTCTCGACGAGCCGATTGCGCGACGCGCTCTATAAAATCGACAATAAATCCCCCCAGGACGCTAAAGGGGGAGGAGGGTAGGAATGTCTCTTTCCCTATATTGTATATCTAAAGCGTGAGCAAGCTATTAAACTGTCGCGAATTGCGACAAAAAAATCTCTCGCGCGCCTTGGACCTATCTATCCTCCTCCTCCTCCTCCTACTCCTCCCACCCCCCCTTCCTCCACCTCTTCCGGGATATACGCTTATCGATCAGGGAGTGCACCGTATAGCCTGGTAATGCAGTTACATCACGTATATAAATGCTAAATATCCAAGCTTCGAGAAACATCGCCCTTTCTAACCAGAGGCGATTTCGTGTTCACAAATTGCTTAGGTAATAATAGAAAGAAAATTCTATTTATATTGATCGAACGATTAAAATGTTTCTCCGTCAGTTTCAGTATGCTAGATACAATCCTCAAAAAAAGATTAGAGAATCGCTGAAAAATCAATCAGCTTGAAAAGGAAATTATGTATTTTTCAAAATTATAAATATTTTTGTGAAAAATGATCACAAAGTGATATTTGAAAAAAGTGTTTTAGAGCTTGAAACTTTAATTTTCAAATGTTTGGCATTATTTTTAAATTAACTTTGAAAAATGAAAAGACTAAACTTCAATTTTGATGACGTGTACGGAAGAACAAAATTGTTTCTACAAATTTCTTCAATTGTATCATAAAATACATTATTTTCTCTTTAAAATGCTTTTCTAATCATTACGCTACGATTTCTTTCATTAACAATAAGTTATAATGATTTAAAGTGAGTAGTGTATTTTTTCTCTAAAAACCTGTAGATATCTACTATCGCGTATCTGTATTCTGTTGCAATAATTTAGTAGTCTGTACTTTTACAAGTATTCTCTTGGCATTAAAAAAATGG